GGTTCCCATCTCTGATTTGTATGTACAATGGATTTATAAATATACATTTTGACAATGAGATGTTGTCAAACGCATAACTTAAAAAAAAGGTAAAAAAAAGTAAGTACCATTTGGTACAAATTTGGAAATTTGCAAAAGGTTAAAATCCATTAAAATTTCTGTTAAAATCTTAAAAATACCGAATGTAGCCGTATATTAGGGGCTATACGAAGACATGGACCTGCACAGACAATTTGCAGTCATTGATTTGAAAAAGTTCCGGTAATAGTTCCGTATATCAGGAGATACCGTTATATAGGGGCTATACGAAGACGTGGGCCTACATAGCCCATTTTCAATATCAAAAGTCCTGCAGACATAATACACATTTGAGTACATTTTTATCAACTTACATCATTTCGTTTAGATGCCAGGGTGATTTCCACAGCCGGACGTACCTCGCTAAATCGACATAGAATTTTATGCTGATCAAGAATATATTATGGGTTCTAAAATGTATATTGCAAGGTGTTACAAACGGAATTACAAACGTAATATACCCTCCATACTATGGTGAAGGGTATAAAAATGTAAACATGACTTTACCTTCTTATTTCTACCATAGTTTAACCTTAAATTTTCCTTTATCCCTGTTAACATTAATTTATTTAAAAAAAAATGAATTTATTTTATTTTCCTAAAAATCACAATGATTGTCAATTATAATAGAAGCACCTGCAGATACAACTCCGAAACTAGTGGAAAATTAATTACTATAGTTAACTATATTTAGTCATATAACGAACACTTTATTTTATTTTATTTTTTTTTTGACTTGGTTCGCTTTAGCTGTGAAACCTTGAAATTTTATTCAGAGTAATAATGAACCAAAGTAGATTTTTTTGTTTTTGAATATTTTTTTGTAGTATATTTAAATTATTTTTATTTTAAATTAATATAATTAGTTAATTATGATTATAGACTTTTATATTTTCTTTTGGTAGACTAAAATATTCTTTCCAGAAATTAATGAAAGTGCATTTACTTTACCTCTAAATATCTTTGAATTATGTTTTTATGACTTAGTTCGGTATAGCTGTGAGCCCTTCATATATGGATCTTCCTCTGTTTCTCTCTCGATGAGCTGAGTCGATCTAGCTACATATGTCCGTCCATGTTAATTTGTAATCACGCTACTGGTCGCAATTATGGTCCGGACCACACGGAGGTGGGCTTAGGGTCAGTTAATCTGCTTGTAAGTCAAGAACCGCTGAAGTGATTTTCACAATTCTCATCAATCGGAATGTTCTCTTGCCAGAAAAAAAGCAAAATCTAAGAAAATTGCGTAAAAATTTAACAATAAAAAGGTGAATATTTTTTGGTTCATGTTTTAAATTTTTGTCATATTTTTTATGGCATGCGATTTTTATGTCCTCCAACATTTCGACCCCACAAAGTATATTTGTTCTTGATCAGCATAAAATTCTATGTATTAAGCGATGTCCGAACGAAATGAAGTAGGTTGATAAAATGTTACTCAAATATATATTTATTATCTGCAGGACTTTTGGTATTGAAAATAGGCCATATAGGTCTACGTTTTGGTATAGCCCCCATATTATGGTACCTCCCTATTTTTGGTATTTTGTTGATTTAAGCGACATTATTCACAGGAAATATTTCAAATTTGTTATTTAAAGTTTGTAATGGATACTACAGACTGTGACAGAGAATTGTCGGTGCAGGTCCACGCCTTCGTATGGCTTATGACAAAACTTGCCTATGCAGGTCTACGTCTTCGTTTATATTTAACTGTAACTCCCTGTGTTTTTATGATTTTAACAGTATTTTTTTTTTTAATTTCCAAATTACTTCCTTACATTTTTACTTGTTTCAATTTGACTTACAATTTTGAATTGTACATTTTCTAAAGTTTTTCTACACTATGCGTTGAGGGTATTATATACAGATCGCAATTATCGTCCAATCCTCACGAAATTTTCCATGAGGGTAGGGCTAGGGTGAGAATAGAAGCCTATTGTTTTTGAAAATGTATATTTAGAGGTTCAAATGGACCAAAACAATTACAAATTTCTCAATTTTGCAGTCGCTCTACGGTTCACAATTAAAAACCAATCGACATGGAATTTTCCAGAGTTAAGGGTAGGGAAGAAGATTAGCATTTTGAATGACCATTGGATTATATTTAGCTCTAAAGTGAACCACAACTTTCGTATAATTTTTTTTTAATGCCTAGCAACACGACGAAGTGCGTACATATTGGGCAAAAGCTAACATCTGAATACAAATAGATTTTGACATGAGAGGGTTGCAAAGTGTCCACCATTTGAAACGATTTTGGCAAGAGTCTATACGACGAAGTGGACCTGCATAGCCAACTTTTGTCATAAGCCATTAGAATATTCAAATGCGAAACTTGAAAAAAATCGACGAATAATGCAGCTAAAATTATCAAAATACTAAATATAGGCAGGTACCATTATATGAAGGCTATACCAAACCGTGGACCTACATGGCCCATTTATGCTCGAGTAAATGAACGTTGTATTACCTATATTCGGGGTAGGATAAGAGTGTTGCGAAACAGTGAATTAATGAATTTGAATTGCCATATTTTAAAAATAAAGCAAAAATCCCTGAAAGGGAAATATAATTCTAAATTAATCATATTCAAAATTGTCTTTACAGGAACAAATTTTTACTTGAAATCTGAATTGAATTGAATCGTAAAATTTCAAACCGGATGAAACTCATATATGGAAGCTATAGCTATATCCGTTCTTCAGGAATTTTGATAGAAAAATGTTTAATATTTTATACTCTTATTATAAGTTCGATTGGGCCAAAAATTGTGTAACACCTCGAAATATTGGTCCCCGACATAGGAAACTGTTGAGAATGAGACTAAAATCGACAAATATTATTAAGCATAAAAGAAATAATGTGCTTATTCCTGCAGTCTTCTGCAACAGAAGACAAAATAGAATTGTAAACGATTCTCCAGAATAATGTGGCTAGACTCATCAGAATACCGTATGTCGGAAAGTATTGACACATGGGGGCTATAGGAAAACGTGGTATCTATTACGAACTTCAAATACCAAATTTGAAACAATTCCGGTGAACAATGTCGCTTAAATCACCAAAATACCGAAAATTGGGAGGTACCATTATATGAAGGCTATAACAAACCGCGGACCTACATGACCCATTTTCAATACCAAAAGTCCTGCAGACATAATTTACATTTGAGTAAAATTTTAACCACGAACTTCATTTCGTTCGGAAACTAGAGTGATTTCCACGGACGAATGGACGGATATCGCTAAAAAGACATAGAATTTTATGCTGATCAAGAATATATATACTTTGTGGGGTATAAAATGTATATTTCAAGGTGTTACAAACAGAATGACAAACTATAGGGTAAGTGTACCAGTAGTCGGAACTTTTAGGATTTTCGCGGTTTTAATCGCTCACCATTCTGAGTGGATCTTTTCAATTATTACAAAGTTACTTTATGCAGATTCGAAATTTTGTATAGTTTTTGGAATAAAAAATAAAGTTTTAATAACTTTTTATTAAATTTCATAAATTTGTAGTTTTATTAAAACAATGCTTTTTCGCCAGTAGTCGGCACCCCTTGCCAATTGTCGGTATGGCATTTTCCAACAGTCGGCATACCAATTTTTTTGTAAGAATAATTAATAATAATAATAAATTAATTCATTAAAATATAATATTTTTGTTTAGTTAAACTGATTCGACGTCTTTATTGTACTTTTCTTAAGAATATGGATTGTTGAGGACCTTCACAGACAAAAATTTAATTTTAATTAGAATAAATCACCTTTTCTTAGCGAAATTGTACACAAAGATAGCTGACAATATATTTTAAGAAAACAAAATATATTTAGTTATAATAGTTTCATTTATTTGGGCTTAAAAATAAAAAGTGCCGACTACTGGGACATGCCGAACCAAAGACATAGAAGTATAAAGATGGGACAAGCCAGAGTCAAGATATGGCAACCCTGTAAAAACACTTCTGTTGTTATGATATCGTAACAACATAGTTAGCAATGTTAAGCGATTAAAACCGCTTAGGCAATATGCAATAATTGGGAAAGTCTATAGAATATAATTTTGAAACCCAATTTTTGAATTTTTAAAACTTTTGTTTGACATTTTTTTCTATAAATGTGTTTTTTATATTAACATTGTCCTGCCATGAGCTGTTATCTAGATATTATAGACACCAACCATTTGCTCAGAATGCATTTTGTCTAGTCTTTACCATTTTAGGTCTTTGGCCGAACTTAGGCACACTAACCCTACATAGATATTTGTAAGACACAAAAATAATTAAAGGAAATCAATTTGTAGAAGTAGAGCTAAATTGTAAAAGTAGAGTTTTGTCGCCTTGAAAATTAACGTCCAAAAGTATCATAAATATAGGGGGAAACTAAACTCCAGCTGTTTCATTGTATGAGGTCAAAATTTTCCAAATTCCCCCATATTTTTTAAGCCTCAATTTCTTTATATTTGCCACATTGCATCCAATTTGGACTAATATGGCACATTTGGCGCCTACTAAAAAGCAAATCAAACGCAGAAATGTGTGGAAGCTACTTCTTAATATTGATCGATTATCTCCGATTTCAATAGGGTTCGTTCTTGAATCAAACAAATGATTTGCACAAAATTTCATCTCGATCGGACAATAAATTCTACCTGTACTTTGTTTGCAAAAATACATGGACGGACTGACATGCATAAATTGACTCAGAATGTGATTCTATGCAGATCATCAAAAGGAACTATGGGTCTATCTCGTTACCTTTTCTATCTTACGAACAAATGGAAAAAACATAATACCCTGGTCACAATGTGGTGTAGGGTATAATTACCTTTAGACGAGCATTTGACAATGCTCTAGGACTATATTAGAAATTTAATGGGAAAGAGTTTTTTTTTTTTTTTTTTTTTTTTTTTTTTTGCAAAGAGAGTGCGTTTGTAAACGAAGCAAAATAGACATTGCAAAATGAAAATGTAGGAATACATAAAACTTCATATAAAAGTAAAACCGTTCTAAAAATAGGAATGTATTTTAAACTTATTTGTTAACATTTAGAACCTTAAAATAAATTTTAATTTCGTGGGGCAAACACTTGGATTGGTATGATGATTTTAAAGTAGTTACTTGTATCAAAAATACTCCAAAAGGTATATTCATGATCAGATAAAATTCTGAATTTATTAAACGATGTCTGTCTGTCGAACACGATACAGTCTACATTATTTGGCATTTGAAATTTGGCACAATAGTTTATATTGTGCATCCACATGTGTGCTGTCCACATTTGTCGACGGAATTATTACAAATTTGGTATTGATAGTTCGTAACGGGATCTACCGTCTTCGGCCAAACATTGTCTGTATAAGTAAACGTTTTACTATAGCATCCATATAAAGGGTGTTTTTAAAGCTAGATAGAACTTTAAATTGTAAAAACTAACACAAAAAATTAAATTTTGATGAAACTTTTTTTTATTTGTTTCAGTATACTCTGACAAATCATCATGAATAGACTCACGCTTGAACAACGCTACGAAATTATCCAAATTTTCTTTGAAAATCAGGCTCTAGAGCAGTTGGCAAATGACTAGTTGATTTATCGCAAAATTGTGTTCAGCGATGAGGTGCATTTTTGGCTAAACGGGTTTGTTAATAAGCAAAATTATGGAGTGAGACCAATGTACAAGAGATCCGACAGATTCCATTACATCCAGGAATATGCACCGCTGGTGGCATCATCGGACTTATTTCTTAAAAAATGAGGCCGGAGCTCGCGTTAAGTCAATGGAGATCGTTACCGCACCATGATCAATGATTGTTTGTTTAAAAATATGGATGACATTGATCCGGAGGAGATGTGGTTTCAACAGGATGGCGCTACGTGCCATACGGCGAACGCAACCATCGACTTATTGAAATCAAAATTTGACGATAAGTTGATTTCAAGAAGTGGACCTGTCAATTTTCCTCCAAGGTCGTGCGATTTGACCGCTCTCGATTATTTCCTGTGGGGCTACGTGAAGTCACTGGTTTATGCTAATAAATTAACAACAATTGACGCCTTGGAGGCCAGCATTGTTCGTTTTATTCATGACATACGTCCAGCAGTGCTCGAAAATGTGGCCAAAAATTGGACGCCCAGAATGCACTTCGTCAGGAACAGCCACGGTGCCCATTTGCCTGAAATCATTTTCAAACGTTAATGTCACGTATTGATCTTTCGAATAAAAAAAAATTGATTAACATTTAATTATTTGTGTTATTTATTACAATTTCAAGTTTTATCGGGCTTAAAAAACACCCTTTAATAGTACCTTCCGACATTTGGTAATTTAACGATTCAGGCCACATTTTCTATCGGATTTTTTTCGAATTCGGTAATTGTAGTTTATATTGAGATTTAAAACCGGTTCGACAATATTGTCCACCTATCTTCTATGAATTGTTTTAAATTCGGTTTTTAAGATTCACATTTGATAACAAGTCTTGTAGTAGAATATTGTCTAAGTAGGTTTACGTTTTGCTTTAGTGGCCAAACAATGTTTCCACCCACTTTTTGGTACCTTGAAAACTTTATCCGCTTTCTCCGACCGATTTCACTGGAACACATTCGAATATTGAACCCAGAAACCTCTATGTAAAAATGCTTTACTAACAACACGGTGAAGTTGCCGAACTTAGCGTTTTTACATGTTTTTACAAGAGCACGTCAACGGAAATAACCAACAATTTAACGGCTGCTTAAAATCGACAAAGAAGAAGAAATATTATTTATTATCACTTCATGTTTCATAATTTGTTTGCATTTGTTTGTCATTTGCTTTCATTGTGCAATCTATCATATATAATGCATATATCCACGAGTTTTTTAATATTGGAAGTATTACAACATATACAATAAAAATTCCCAAACGAAAATGTTAACTTTAATCGCCGTTTATACTTCCTAAATATACTTCCTTTAAAAACACTGAAAAATGTTTTTTAATAATGCACAAAACGATAATACAAATCGTAAAAAATTGAACATTTAAATAAACATGATGATGACAGCGTTGGGACTGCCGCTGGGGAATAACTTTTATTGGACCAGCACATCCACACGGATTTTGGAAATCGAAATCATAGCATTCGTCAACACTTCCTGTTCCATCGATAACATAAATCAGTGTGCTGTCTTCTTCGATTTCAGAATTGAATAATAATCCATTTGCTTTGTATTGTGTTTTATCCTTGAGGGGTTCAAAATCTTCTACGACGCTTTTACTATTCGGGCTTGTCCATCAATTGCCTTGAGAGACTTCTTTCTTCGTTATGCTCTGTGGAATGGAAAATTAAAAAGAAAACGATGATTGGATTAATACTCAGAAGTATAAAGTATGCACTTTTATATATATATATACTAGCTGGCCCGGTCCGCGTTGCCGGCCCGTAGTTTTTGTCTATTATGCATATTTGTCAAAGCATAATTATTCAAAAATATGAATGTTATAAATGTTCACGTACTGGTCGATTAGTTTTTAATTTTTAGTCAAATGGAATTTACTGTACTTTGTACACCTCAAAATTGAGGGCTAATTGATTTAAGAATAGCCAAAGTTAATTACTTTTTTAAAACCATTAGCACCTCAGATTGTGCATTAGAGTCCTCATAAGTCCCCCTAACCATGTCGGTTTGTTTGTCCGCCAAAAGGTGGACTTAAGGGGGTTCTATTACATGGAGAAAATTCTAAAATTTGTAGATATGTTGAAATTTTTGTGTAAGATTTTCACCCCCAAATACACATTTTTAGCCAAATCCTTCGAAATATGGTAAAATGCGAAACATCGAACTACATTGAAAACTTTCTTCACCCCTTATAATCCAAGATGACAAATGGAGGCCAAATCGAAAATATAGCAGAACAACATAGCATGTCATACTGAAAAAAAAATCACGTAATTTAAATAAGTAAAAATAGTTTTATCCACCTCATAATTGAGGTCAGACTGATTTCAGAATAGTCAATTATAATTACTATTTTGCACCCATTACCGTAATATGGGAGCTAATTTTATTTGTCATTTAAATTGTAAATTGGAGACCCCATAAAGTCCATATTTTTCGTAGCAGTCCCGTGCTACTTTCTTATATTTTGTAATTTGTTCATGTTTTCACAATTTATTTCATATAGATGTATTTCCCAAATCTACGTTCCCAACCAATATGCTCTTGGGGGTTTCAAATTCAATAGAATACAAAATTTTCTTTTCTGACCACACATTAGATGTGAAAGTGGACTTGGGGATACTCCAATGTGGGGACTTTACATGAATAAATTTCTATGTGGCAATTATCTGTACGATGGTTCCTTACCCCAGGGTAGCATAAATACAATTTTTTAGTGGTCAAGACCAAATAGAAGAAAGTGGCGAAGACTCCAAAAATGGCTTAAATCATACGATGGTTATTTATGATCGATATCATGACCTGCAAAAGCGATTTAAGGTATCTTAAATATTCAGGAAGAATTTTTGGAAGGATAGAAATCCTTTTCTTACTAAAAGTCCCATTCGCTCTACTATTTTGCACCCTTTATATTTGGTATTTTACTGATTGTACTCCCAAAAATTTTTGCATTTCGCATCTTCCAGCTGAAGCACGATGTAGGCCCTGGAGTTGAAAGGTAGATGTCAGTTACCATCATTACCGTATATCGCACCTATTTAATTTTTTTTTGGTGAAAAATTGTATATAGTGAAAAATTACTCTTTATTTTGTTAAAAAAAAACCAATGAATTCAATATGATATTACAAATTGAAAAAAAATTGACAAAAGAAGAATAACAAATTGAAAAAATCTTCAACTTGTTCGCTGATTTTTTACAGCAACTGTTTAAAGATTCTTACAAAGTTTGTCAATAGAATGTACTTTTATTTTAAAATTCTATTCCATTGGAAACTTTTTTCGATATTTTCCCGTTTTGGGAATTGTTGCAATGAGATCTCTTTTTTCATGTTTTTTTAACGATTTTGAAATAGTAATTATCTTTTAACTTTGGTGTGACCGCATTAAATTATTTCGGTATCATCTATTCCGTTTCGCCACTACATAATTCGGTACTACACTTCCATGTAACCAGTCATCAATTTCAGTTCTCAACAAATCAAGTCAATTAAATAAATTGGTATTAATATTCGAATTCGAAAATAAAATATAAAAAACACTACAAATGTACATTAGAAAAAAGTAAGTCAAAATGGAAAAAATCATGCAAAATAAAACATTACTATTGTACATTTCAAAAGTCAAAATGAAAATGTTAATATATTACATTTTTACGCGATTTTTTTGGATATTATCCTTTTCGGAAAGGACACAATTCCGAATTTGTATGAATCGTTAAAATCAGATCAGCGGTTCTGGAGTTATAAGCGTAGTAACTAACACAACTTTCATTTATATATATAGATTTATAAAAAATAATGCTTTGAGCTTGTGAATAAAAACTCCATTGAAGGTATGTTTTAGAGGATCTTATATTGTTAGGAGGCTTTTAAAAGGTCTTCCATAACTAGAAAAAAACTAAAAGGGTCAATAGACAAAATACTTAAAAGTGATCTTATAAATAGGGGAGCTATTCAGGGTGAGATGAAAAAACTGCAATGAAGTCAAACATTTTTACAGTTTTTTTTTAAATTTTATTGAATGAAATCAAAAAAGGCCGAAAATAGCATCAAATTTTAGAATAAGTTTAGATTTGATCGAAATAGTCATTTGGCACTAATTATGGCCTATGAAAGCGGCCAATGACACCGTCACACGCTGCCCGAATGTTGCTCTGCGGTATTTTGGCCCATTCTCGGCGAAGCGCTTGCTTGAGGTTATCGACACTTGTATTTTTTAGTGCCAACCTTGCTTTCCAAGACACTCCAGACACAATAGTTCTAAGGATTGGTATCCGGAGATTTTGGTGGCCATTGTGCGCTGGAAATGAAGTGAGGAACCTCATTTTGTAACCTTTCTTGGGCAGTGCGTCTGAGTGCGATTGTGCTGAGTCCTGTTGGAATGTGCAAGGTCTGCGACCAAAATGTTTGCGTCCCCAAGGCTTTAATACACCCTCTAGAATATTTTTGCGATAATATTCGGCATTTATTCTGATACCACGGTAGATTAATAGGTGCAGAGAGCGACCATCGGCTGTTATGACAGCCCACACGATCACCATGGCCGGAGCTTGAGTTCTGGTGGCCAAACGAAAGTGCACACTTTTAGCTGACCTCTTTGGCAAGCAAACACGATCATTTTGTTTGTTTACAAACTGCTGAACAACGAATGTTTTCTCATCGGAGAAAACCAAATTCGGCAGTTCACCACTTTCTGCCAAGCGAAGCAACTTTTTAGCTCTTTATATTTATTTCTGTTGAGGCTTAAGTTCTTTCACTTTTTGGAATTTCAATGGCTTTACCCCGAGCTCATTTTTCAATATTTGCCGAATGGAATATTGCGATATGTTCAGCTTACAAGCCCTTTTTCGGCCACTGCGACGCGGTTTCGATCAAGTCGCTTCGTTACTTTTCGAAATATTTCTGCTGATGTTGCTGTTTTCTTCCGTCCACTTCCCTGATGTCGGGCTACACTATATTATCACGGTAACGAGCGATGGTACGAGACACAAAAGATTTATTCACATTTAAATGCTGGAGTGCTCTAACGATAGCGACTTGTGGTTTTGCAGCCAAATATAAAGAAATCACACTATCACGCTTGAATTCAATCACGAAGAACTTTTTTTAGAAAATTCTCACCAAAAACCTTTTGTACGCTTGTAAAGAATATAATGAGCTGTCATTGAAATAATTTTAACAGCTGTCAGACGAGTGGCTTAGAAATGAGAGCTGTCTCAAGTTTGTTGCAGTTTTATATATCACTCTGTAGAAACCCTTTAAAGGCCTTCTAGAAATGAAATACATTTAAAGGGTTTCCGTAGTTAAGAACTTTAATTATCAAAAGTTATTCTAAATAGTATTTTATAATAGAAGAGACTTTAAAAAAAAAAAACGATATAAATCTACACCCCGTTAAGATCCGTTAAAGTCCCTGTAGATTTGAAATCTATTGATTACTATTGATTGAAAGTTCATTCATTATTTACTCGAGATATTTGATTGGAATACTTCATATTTAATTTTATTTATTTAATTGGACTACTAAAAATATTTTTAAAATATTAAAATATGTATATGTGGAATGTAATGTAGATGGAATGATATTTCTTTAAGTTACGTAAATAAAATTCAATGTAACTTTCTCATTAATTCGAGAAAAAATCTACATAGATTCACTGACATACATATGCCACTGATACAATGTAAGATTTCAATTATGTGTAAGGCTTTTTATTCTAGTGTTTGAAAAATATCGATTTATGATCTTCTATAGATAATCCTGCTGTAAAGTTCATCAAGTGATATTTTCAAACAGAATAATGATGACAAATTTTCCTATAAAATCACTAGCTAAAAACCAATCTTCTAAAAAACAACAGATCGCTAAATCATCTATCTAGGATGGGATATTTATAAATAGTACTTTTATAATATTGACACTGTAGACATGCCTACTAGATTCTATTGTGTTATGATCATTTTTCTTAAATAAATTGAAATGGCTAATGGCTGAAGCTAACATTTCTCAAAAATCAAATGTCTCAAAAAATTCAATATGTGGTAATGACTGGATCGAAATTACTTCTTTTGGATAGCCTGTTAAAGTCTATCACATAAAAAAATTGTACAAGGAAGCCAAAGCGTCCTCCAAAGAAAAATCTAGAACATGTGTCAAAATTTAAATAGCAAAAATCTAAGTTTTGTTTAATACTTTTGAGTAGACAAATTTCGCCAACTACAAAGTGATCGCATGATTTCCAATCTCTGATTGCCTCAGACGTTGATTTTGAAGAAAACATGTTCTTCCAGTGCAAATTCCATAGTTCGTACTCACACTAGTTTTACCATTAAAATTCTACATAAGGATTGCGTACATTGTCAATTTTTGGTCTCAACATTCATAATTACACAAAAATAACTTGAAAAGGCACATTTGGATTTTGATTTAAAACTAATCTTACCACAACATAGCTTTCCTTCAATCCGAACTCATGGTCAAATCCTCTCGCATAAATTTAAATTGGTGCGAGAACTGCGCTTATAATCTTCATCGCCAAAGAAACCTGAAACGGCAAAAATAAACGAAATTGATAACTATATTCAGAAGTTAAGAAGCGAAACATATTCATTTTAATTAAATACTAAAGCAAAAACTATTATTATAATAAATACCCTCCTCCGTTTTGGGCCAAATTTCACAACAAATACGACCGAATTCCCGAATGCCAAAAATTAACAAAACTACAAAACTCAATTAATAACCTGAATTAGTGGCAGCAATGACTGCAACAACAACACATTCTGATACAATTTCAACGAACATTTCATTAATTTACATATCAAACTTGTCTAGCCTTGTGCTCTCACACCAACAACATTAGTCCCCTGCTGACTAAGCCATCAAAAAAGTGGTTGCAGTGAGCCACTTGTACACATTTGTTTTGATTTAAATTGACCCCACAGTAAACACATGCAACCACACACACACACACTCACTTGACAATAATAAATATTCATAATCATATATTTCAATTATCTACATTAGGGGTGTTGGGAAAATGCAAGCCCATTTGATGGCAATGGCAATTGTGGGTGGGATTGTGGCTCTAAATGTGTGACCATGGTAAACGGCCAGTTTGGTAGTTTATTTTGTAACAGCATATATGGCAACAACATTTTAATTGCCCAATGTATTGTATATGCCATAAGGGCCCAGGTTAACTCCCTATCGGCTGCCTAGCCCATAACTCAACATCTCTTAGATAGATAACTTATTTGGATTTGGGTTTAATGTTGTGGCAGGGATTGTTGTCATTTATTCTTCAATAGCTCAAATAAGTATTAATTTTGAGGATGAATCTTAGGACAATTATTAAAAAGGTGTGTAACAACAAGTAGAAAAACACTAAGTTCGGCCGCACGGTACTTTTCCCGGGAAAATATATATATATTTTTAATATAAAGGTATCTGAATTAAAACGAGTTCAACTTAAGACTACAAATACCAGAAAGACCGTCTGGATAACGATGTTAAACTTTTCAAAAAAAAAAAAAAAAAAAAAAAAGGTGCGGCCGTTAAATGGTGGGCATACCAAAACGGAAACCTATATAGACAATTTTATACTTCAAGGATTATTATCTATCAAATCTTCTTAAATATTAAATTTGAAACAATTTTGTGGGTAAATGTGACTAGGATTATCAAAATACAGAATATTGCTGGATATCCTTATATGTGAGCTGTATGAAAACGTGAACCTATGCATACAATGTTCTGCCATTACGGAATACAAATGCTATCAAAATACCGAATATCAGGAGGTATACGTGAATCTATATGTTCAACGTTCCGCCACCGGAGCGCAGTGCGAACTACAAATACAATTTTTAGACAAATCCGTGAAAAAATGTAGCGAAATCAGCAAAATACCGAATATCGGAGGTACCATTATATGGGAGCAATTAACATTTTGTGCCAAATTTAGCTGCATCGTGATTTCAACAGACAGACGAACGTCGTTAAATACTTTATGGGGTCTACGACGAATATTTCAGGATGTTTCAAACGGAATGACAAGTTAATATAACCTCCTGGAGGGTATAAAAACGATGAAATATTAAAAAACGCAGATATTTACTCTCAAAATTCAGAATACTACAAGTTTGGCTCTCAATTATCCAAAAGGGCTTATATAAGTAATTACTCGTAAAATATAATCTTTTGGATAACTTTAAGGAGAATATTTATATTTTATAGTATATTTTTTCAAGTATATTTTATAATACTTCAGTGGCGCCCAATGAGAACTAAAAAAATCTTAAATCTCTCTCCATGGGGACCTATAATTCCTGTAATTTACATTCCTAAAGTAAAGGCAAACATAAAATTAGTGATAAATGTATGTCCGCGACCTTGCGCAAAAACGTGGCATGCACAACATGGCATGTGGTACATCCTTAGTTGCAGAGAAAATGCATTTTGCAGTTACACACAAATCAAATGACCGACCTAGACGTACATCGTCATAAAAATAAAATTTCCTCATGCTTTGACTGGGCTTTTGCTTTCAAGCACGTGGTATGGATGTTATGTCCTTTCGAAGAGGCAATATGTATTGTTCTTCTCTAGAACTGCAAAAAGGTAATTGAAATTTATTGCGATTATTTTATAAAGTGCAGAAATGCATTAACGACAAGATGCGGGAAGAGAAAGAGGGAGGTTGTAAGAAAAAGGTATACAAAATCATAATAATTCTTTATTCCTTTCGTTTTAAATAGAGCAAACCCCTCATTTCAGGTCTATGTCAATGCCAAAATTTTTAATTTAAATCTACTTCAGTGTAAAATGGTGGGAGTAACTTGAATTAAAATTTATAAACCTATTACTGTGCAAATTTTCAATTGTATTTACACAAACCAACCTGCATATACACTTATTTGAACATTCAAAACTTTCAGGCTTCAACAAAGTCCCTATTGAAAGAACAATTTGCTGAAGCTTCTTATAAGATCCCTTCCACACTGGAATAATTTAAAGGTTTAAGACGCAATTTTCAAATCAAAACAGTCGTAACTTGTTATTTCAAACCGTTCCTAGCAAAATTGTGGTTTGAGCCCCAATTTCGAACCAAATAAACAGTAATTTGTGTTCTCATTGGATGGTGATTTGTCCTACGAAAATTTTTAATATTGGTCTGAAGGGACGTACGAAGGGTCCGGCACAATCTCCGGCATGGTTACTTCCTAGAATTTTTTTGTTCATTTTATATGGAGAAGTTCATTTCTTGCTAGATTGACAAAAATAGTTTGAAACTGCTTTTGCATGTATGGGTACGTCGCTGTTGGTCTACGTTTTGAGATAAGCCTCTTACAGCGGAACTTACTGACTCAATATACCCCGATCATAATTTCCATCCGAAGAGGCTGTTAGTTAGTATTTGTCTGAGTATGTACCGCACCGGCTACTGCGAATCAAAGTTTTCTAAAGTTAATTATTTTTGTAAGTTGTCCACACAGCAAACGGTCATACTCCCCATGGGGATTGTGTCCGTTCTGGAAGAGGACATAATTCTTACATTATTATGGGGACTATGACCAAAAACAAACCGGACATTATCCCCATAATTCCAACTGGGATAATGTCTGCGCACCGAAACGGCACCTTCAAAACCAACGGAAGCAATCATTTTTAAAACAATAAACAATTTTACTTTTTGGAAATGAGCTTTTACTCCCTGACGAAAAAAGTAAATGAACTGAAATAAAAGTTTGAGTGTTTGACTAGCAATTGCTTGTCTGCCTTAAAAAAAAGTCCTGTCAACAGGCTTTTAATCTATATAATGATTGCTGTTTATTTACTAAAATAGATTACAAATCCATACCACACTTCCTTTTTCTATTTCTATGCTGAATTGCAATTATGGGCATGAACATTCATGTACTGAATGATTGAACCAATTTAAAGCCAAACGAATGATGAACAAAAAGAGCAAAAAATAAGTAAACAATAATTTTAAAAAACAAAAAAAAAAAAACAAGTAAAAAACATTAAGTTTTGCCGACCGAACTTTTAATTAGGGTAAAGGAAACATTTTTACAGAAAAGTATCTGAACTCAAGCGTGTTTCACTTTAAACTTCGTATACCATTAAGACCGTTTGGATAATGCAGTTAAACTTATCAAAAAAACAAGTAAGCAAAGCTACAGTCGAGCGGGGCCGACCGTTGAATACCCTACAACACTATAATAAACCATACAGTTTATATAGGCGAGATACTCGAAAGAATTCCAAAAGATATTGTGACAAATTATAAAAGAAAACCATCAGGTTTCGTTCTCTAATTTTCGAATAATAGCAACTTAAACTAATTTGCTGATTTCCAATTTATTGGTAGATGTTGCACGTAAATGGTCTTCCTAGATCTGGAACCAATATTTCCCAAAGACCTATAATCTCTCAGAAGTGGCAAAAGATTAAAATTTATTATTGGTTTTTGACTGAAACGCATCTATATGAGATACATACATTTGATTATATTCTTCCACGAAATCAGCTTTAACGAAATAGTCAGAAGTGCGTCTTTCCTGTATTTGTGAATTCTCCAAAAAGTCACTGGAATGGACATTTTCGTATTTTGTCTACAAAAGTTGGCAAACTCCTTCACACATTGAATATTTTTGGATGGCCATACAAAACTGCTTGGCTTTTGCAATGCCCGGTAACCCCCATTCAAATGTGCGTGAGGATCGGGCGATAATTACGACCTGCTGACAATTTTGCAGTTTTTTGGTCCATTTCAACCCCTAAATATATGGCGATCATCTCCAAAAAGAGTAGGCTTCTATTCTGTCCCTCATCTTATACCCATGCAAAATTTCGTAAGAATCGGGCCATAAATGCGATCTGTATATGATATCCTGATATCCTAACTACTTAGATTTGCTAGCTGTAGAAATATTACCAAATGTTTAAAATTCAAAATGAAAATATGCCAAAAATATGACAAAATTGAAAAAATATGAGAAAATGTTACAAAATCAATATTTTCATCTTTAGAGAGATATTTTTATGCGATTTTTTAGACGTTTTTAGTTTCCTGCCAAGAGGCCATTCTGAATTAATGAGAACTGTCTAAATCAGTCCAGCCGTTCTCGACACATAATAGATCTTTCAAGCATATCTTCTTTGATAGACATATATATCGCACATATTTTGCTATATATCCGATTTGTTGGATGTTAACATCAATGTAAAGGTCAGAAGTAACCTTGTCATGGCTTCGTGATTTCGCCGTGATTTAAAATATTCGCGGTTTAATGAAAAATGTTGAATTTTTTCAACACAAAAGATATGGTATATTTTACCCGCTAAATATTATCCGATGACCACCCAAATTGGTAGGCTTCTTCCCCGCCCTAAACTCTAGCTACATACGAAATTCCGCGTCGATTGGTCTATAATTGCGACCTGTAAAGCTACTGCAAAATCCGATATTTTTTTCAGTATTTGGTCCATTTCAAGCCCTAAAGATTTGGCGATCATCTCCAAAAGAAATAGGCTTCTATTCTGACGCTAACCCCACCTCCATTTTAAACTTCGTGAAGATCGGACCATAATTGCGACCTGTAGAGTGATTACAAATTAACATGGACAGACGGACGGACGGACATACATAGCTAGATCGACTCAGCTCGTCGAGCTAGGAAGATCCATATATACTTTCCTATATGGGAAACCAATATATCGAGGTGTTACATAATTTTTGGCCCAATCAAACTTATAATACCCCCAACACATAGTGTTGTAGGGTATAACTATAAAGTGAATGAGGCCATTATATGGGGCCATACCAAAACTTGAACCTCTATGGACAATTGTGCGTAAAAGTGACTAGGATTATTAAAATACCGAATATCGGTGGGTATCGTAAACTAAATCTTCAATGTTCTGCCACCGGGCTAGAACCCATTATGCACTACAAATACCAATTTTTAAACAAATCCGTGAAAAATGTTGCAAAAATCATAAAAATACCGAATATCGGAAGGTACCATTATATGGGGGCCATACCAAAACATGGACCTATACATACAATATTTCGTCACACGAGCTAGAAACCAAATACCACTTTTTGGACAAATTCGTGAAAAAATGTGGCAAAAACAATCAAAATACCGAATATCGGGAAGTACCTTTTTATGGGGGCTATACTAAAGCGTGGACCTATACATGCAATGTCTCGCCACACGAACTGGGACCCATTATGACCCACAAATACCCATACAAATCCGTGAAAAATTTAGCAAAAATCATCATCATTTTCAATACCAACCATCTTAGACACAATACAAATTGTTCTGCTAATTTTTGACGCTCTACGTCAGATAATGAGTGCTGTGTCGTGATTTCAACTGGCAGGCAGACAGACGAACATAGGTAAATCGACTTAGAATTTTATGCTGATTATGAATATATATACTTTATGTGAAAACTCAACGTGCTTTTAAAAGACTAAAAATGTGAGAAGTGCGCCTTCTAAGAACACCATTAAGCGTTTATACGAAAAATTTTCGACTGGTAAGGCTCTTTCTAATCCGAAGAGGCCATATAAAAGTCGACCAAGGCGATCGGCCGAGAATATCGCTGCCGTACGAGCCAGTGTTGAGAGGTCCCCAAGTACATCCCCAAAACGCCGTTCTCAGCAGTAGGGCATGGCTCGGTCCACTTTACAACGGATTATTCGCATTGATTTGCATTTGTTCCTGTACAAAATTCAATTGACGCAAAGAATGTTATCTGCGGACAAGCCTCATCCAAATAGCGGTTTTAGACAATAGGTCTCGTTGGACCACATTTGGAGTCAATCTAGAGATGTCCATCCGACTGTCTGGCTGGTGCCCACGATAACTCTCGAAGGGAGTATACGATTTGGTCCTAACTTGATACATGGTAATATTACTGTCAAACTTGGATCGAGTTCGGAGATAGTCAACATCGGTCTATTGCTTCTGGTACTTCCCATTTTCACAGAAAATAAATTTCCTTGTAGAAACAGAAAATATCATCAAATTTTGTTCCAAATCCCAATATACTCAGAAAAGATTACATATTACTCACGCTGACGTTTATTAAAATATTTCTGATAGATTTTTTTTTCAATATATAACACACAGTTTATATGTTTTTATTCCAATATATGAAATAACGTAATAATAACGCATATTTCTCTAATATAAATTTAATATAGACATGCATAGACGTTCTTCCAAAAACATTGAAACAGAAGCAATTTTTGTTTTCAAAGCATGCTTCAAATGATTATCCTTAGAACAAAGAAATAAATTTAATTAAAATGCTTGTTATCAACTTTTATGTACAATAATAATGTACAAAGTTTGTCAGCACACGAAAACTCACGCTGACACCTTTTATGACCCCTTTTTGAATATAATGCAATAATTTGAGATTCTCTCAAATTTGAAAGTGATACTTCAGTTATTAGAAAACGTGTAAAAATACGTTAAGTTAAATTTAATAATTTAAATGTAATACTCTTCAAAAATATCATTATAAATAGAGCTATAAGTATTCAATATTCGAACGAGTTTAATTTTAATCTGCAACTGCCAGTAATCGGTTGGAGGTTGTAGTCAAAATCTTTAAAATGATCAGAATCGAACCGAATTTCAAATACCACATTTAGAAAAAGTCAGTGACAAATTCTTTAACCGGTAGCAGAACCCTTGACGAACAACAAATGCCAAATTTTGAGCATATGTTATGTCACAAGAGATATTTCCCATTAGAAACTATGAATACCAAATTTGAAACAATTCGGTGCAGAAATGAAAACATTCGATTTTGTTTGGCAACACTTTAAAATCATGCTCAACAGCAAACAATTTGTTTCTCCAACGAGATTACAAAGGGCTTATAAACGGACGGACAGAATTTTTCACTGATCAAGAATACACACATATTTTATACCCTTCACCATAGCATGGGGGGAATATTAAGTTTGTCATTCTGTTTGTAACACCTTCAAATATAAATTTTATATCCTATTGATCAGTACAACATTCTATATCGATTTACCGATGTCCGTCAGTATGTCTGTCCGTTTCTCCGTCAGTGGAAATCACTCTAGCTTCCGAACGAAATGAAGTAAGTTGATAAAATTTTGCTTTGATGTGCCTTAGGTCTGCAGGACTTTTCTCATTGAAAATAGTTCCACGTTTAAGTATAGCCCTCATATAACGGTAGCTCCCTATATGCGCATTTTTGATAATTTTAGCGACATTATCCAACGGAATTGTTTAAAATTTCGTATTGCAAGTTCGTAATGTTTGCTACAGCCTGTTACCGAAAATTGTCAATGCCTATCTTCTTATAGTACCCTATAACCGTACCTCCCACATTCTGTATTATTCACCGGTATTGTTTCATGTTTCGTATTTCAATATCGTAATAGGCTATGACAAAAATTGCCCCAACTCCCTATATTCGGAATTTCGGAATATTTACAAATTTTTTCCATATGGTGGTGGGTATTCAAATTTCGGCCCGGCCAAACTTACTGCTTTTTAATTTGTTTGGGTCTAAAATCATTATTTCGATACAAGTATACACATAAGTGATTAGCACATCAATGTAGATTCACTTTGATTTGATATAGTCCCCAAATACGATCCCACTTGATTTTCGAAATTTCTTCTTAAATTACAGGCATTCTCACTGTCCAAAGTGCCAAAACAAAATATTGTTTATACGCATTAGCTGAACTTTTAGGTTGTAAGGCAAACCAAGTTTTTTGTTTACAAATTGTTAAAAAAAAAATTGGGAACGCTGACAAACTTATTGTCGAACAAAAATAAATAAATATAAATTTATGTTAAGTTAATTAGTTTAAGTACGTTGGTATTTCTTTCCTATATTTTTTTATTTTCCAATTGCTTTATATCCTAATCATTTTCTTATTTTACAAAATTAAAAATACTTATATACACATACCAGCGTTATTATCTTATCCTCTGCAGGGCTGTCCCGTCGGTTGCATTTTAAGTCTGCCTTCAATCCTTTGACGATGCTGCATTGTCGCTGAGGAGACATCAGGTGCAGTTATTGTTATTTGTGGCTGTATATTTTTGCCCATTAGTCTCAAATCTCGAACAGTCCAAAATGCGGGTATACCAATTTGCAAAAAAGGCTTCCATTGAAGAACAGGTACAGAACAAGATATCTATTTTGAGACGGCAGCATTCAGTTATAGACCAGTGGTGGTGTGTAAACTTCCTACGGCATATTCGGAGGTACAAAAGCGATGCATTTTCTGTTGTTGGGAAGATTAGTCGTGTTACAAGCGGAAGAATGATGCCATTGAGGTACGTTTGTTTTGTGTGGTAGCAAGACTTATCATTGAGTTTTTCGTTGCAAAGCCATTTTTATTGCAGAAATATGGAATAGGAAGAAAACGTCGCCGTAACGGAAGACGCAAACTCTTTTGTAGATTTTTTTTAATTTCTATTACAATTTTGTTTCTTTTACAATCACCTCCGATTTGAAATTTCCGTGGTGTTAATCAGTTTCAATTTAATTGCAATAAATATATATACATTTCATTACAAAATCCCTCAAAATATTGGTGCCCTTAATTAAAAGAATCATTGAATTGAGGATCCGCTTTAGGTTTTGATAGCCAAAACCATTTCAACTTTTTTTTTTTTTTTTTTTTCATTTGCAATTTCAATGTCTGAAAGTTATGGAAAATCATGTATCACTGCACAACACGTACGTTTTAAGGTTATTTTATTGATTGGCACCCAAAGCTTCTAATAAGTTTTTTTTTATTATTTTTCTATTGAATATGTTCTTGAGATTTTTCTTTTCTGTTTGTAGTCTTTTTATTTGAATTAACAGCCGACGGTAAAATTAAATTTCAAATATTCGAACCGGTTAATGCATGTCAAACATTCACAATGAAAATTTCGATTTGAACTAAAAGCCGCAACAAGCTCTGTTCAGTCAAGTGAGCTTGTCGCACACACGCACATAAATTGTATGTGACCAACCACCAATGCTAACCAACCGACAAAAAAAAACAACAAAAATACCCGTCTCCATCATAAACGAGAACTAACATGGCGCCCAAATGTTTTTTTTTTTGCAGAGAGTGGGAGAAGGCGAAGCTTAACGAGAAGATACACAGCCACCACTACAGCAATGGAATTTTGTTGTATTTGGTGGAGTATGGAGTTGAGTAAAGATTATTGCCATTATTGTGGCATACCCACACAATACACACTTAACACTGATATTGACAGCTCTCTGGCGCTGGCCAGAAATGTAAACAGGCTGTTATCTTAAGGTTTTGTTGTAGTCAAGTGGCTTATGAGTGAGAAAGGGAGAGATAGTTAGATTAATTACTGAAGAAAAAAAAAAGAGAATTCTAGGATCCCAAATATTTAATTTTATTCCTACTGCGTCGTTCTTTCAATTTAACAAACACTCAAATCTATAACAAATTTCCATTGCTTACGCCCGTGTTCGTATTTATTAAGTTTTAAGATTTCCGCCAAAGGGAGGTTGTTGTTCAAGAATTCTTGAGCTAAACCCGTACCATGGCTTGCATAGGTGGAGTGAAAACTTTTATCCTTGATATAAGACGAGCAGAATCAAAGGTGGTAGAATTCTATTGTCATATGCGATTTATAAATGACTGCATAAAAATCTTTCCATCCTATTGCCCCCACATCACATCTGAGAGATATGTTGCACATAAAAAGCAACATTGTTTCGATTTTTTTGCGGGGAAAACTAGTTTAGAGATAAAGAGAGACACATATTTGTTAGTTAGAGTTCGCCTCGTTTTTATACCCTCCGCAACTCGTATACCCTACTCCACATAGTGGTAAGCGTATTATGTCTTTGTACATTTGTTTGTAACATATATCTTCACGCGATCGGGTTAATTGTGCACCAAACGGCCAATATCAGTCAAAATGACCTGCATTTTGTCACATGGAACTCGGCTCCGATATATTTTTTTTAATATAATAATTTGAATATAAGCATAGTGGTGTAGGGTATCATATGGTCGGCCGCGCCCGGCTTTTGTCTTTTCCTTTCTTGCTTTATTTTGTCATTCCGTTTGTAACACATATACGTTATATGGGGGCTATATGAAGACGTGGATCGATATATATCATTTTCAATGCCACCCATTGAAAATGATATATATCGATCCACGTCTTCATGTACATGATCAGCATTAATTTCTAGGATGGTTGGCATTGAAAATGATATATATCGATCCACGTCTTCATATAGCCCCCATATAACGGTATATCCCGATGCTCGGTATTTTGATGATTGTTCCAAATTTGTTGTTCGAAATTAGTAGCGGGTGCTACATCTGGTGGTAGAACATTGTAAATGTAGGTCAATGTTTTCCTTTAGCACTTATATTACGAAAACTCCCGACATTCCGTATTTTTGCGATTTCTGTCACATTTTTCTGATTTTTTTTAATTCCGTATTTGTAGTTCACGATGGATTTTACGACCGTAGGGGATAGTGTCCGCTTCCAACACAGACACAACCCCCATGGGCAGTATGACCGTTTGTTTTGTGGACTACTTATAAAAATAATTAATTTTAGAAATCACTTCACTTGGGTAAAAAATGTTTTTTGTCATAAAAGTTATCTTTAAAATAACTTCTGGGGAGAATATCCCAGACAAAAAACAAGGAACTGATGAGGATTGGTTACTCTTTCCGAAACCTAGGTATTCCTTGCCTTACCACCAGGTAAACATTACCATCGTTCTCCACTAATAAACAAAAGTTGTTTTTATACAAACAACAATAAAGGGATAAAACCTGACCATTTTGCAACAACAAAATACTATGGTATCCCGAACAAACAAAGCCAACACTGTTCTAATTTTAGATTCGCGGTAGCCGGTGAAGGACACGCTCAGAGGAGAAGATCTCAAGCCCCGGCCAAAGGCCGGCTACTTACTAGAATCATGAAATTTGGGTGCAGGAAAAAATCTCAATTTTTTGGAAATTAGCGGACAAAATTCCCATAATAATGGGTATGTCCAAAGACTTTCCCTCGGGATATGTTTGACACTGGCTATCGCGAATCAAGGATTTCTAAAATTAATTGTACATAGTCCACACAGCAAACGGTCATACTTTAATATTTGGATTATGGGGATTATCACCGAAAAAAAGGTCATAATCCCCATAATTGCAATGGGGATTGAGACCTTGGGGATTAGTCCGGGTGCCGGTTTTTGGATTTTCCATTTCAAATAAAAGTATAAATGGGGTTGGCGAAAATATCAACCTAATCCGCCAAACGTTAGGTTATGCTACAAACCTCGATAGATTAGTTCTAGACCCACGATTTTACATATGTATCTACCTGTATCTCCTAGCTGGGTCGATTTAGCTATGTGTGTCCGTCTGTCACTTTTTTTATACCCTCCACCATACATAGTATGGAGGGTATATTAAGTTCGTCATTCCGTTTGTAACTCATCGAAATAATCATTTTAGACCCAACAAAGTATATATATTCTTAATCAGCGTAAAATTCTAAGACGATTTAGCCTTGTCCATCCGTCCGTCTGTCCGTCTGTTGTAGTCACGCTACAGGCTAAACGAATTAAGATAGAAAGCTAAAATTTTGCCCAGATCTCTCTTTTGTCTGCAGGCAGGACAAGTTCGAAGATGGGCTATATTGGTCCACGATATCGTATAGCCCCCATATAACGGTACCCCCCGATATTCGGTATTTTGATTATTTTACCCACATTTTTCAACGGAATTGTCTGAAAATCCACATAAGGAGTTCCTTATAGGTACTTTATACCTCGGAATAGAATTATCTATATAGGTCCACGATATCGAATAGCCCCCATACAACGATACCCCCCGATATTAGGTATTTTGATGATATTATTTTATTCCACATAAGGAGTCTCTTATGAGTATTTCACCCCCTGACATAGATTTGTCTATATAGGTCCACAAAATCGTATATACCCCCATAAAACGGCACCTTCCGATATTAGGCATTTTAAAAATTAAAGATTTAATTTTCAATGTATTTTTTTTTTTTTTTTTGAAATTTTTCTAATTCGTTCCTAATGGTGGAGGGTATTCGTTCCTAATGGTGGAGGGAACTTACTGCGTTTTTACTTGTTATTTGTAGTCACGCTACACGTCACAATTATGACGCAAACCTCACGAAATTAGGCGTTAAGTCAGTGTTAGGATCAGAATAAATACCTATAGGACGTGTAATGGACCATTTTGTAGTTTTTGCGCCTAATTTTGCAAGAGGTAAGAGTTGAGACCAAAGAAGAAGCGCACCTATTGGGATCGACAGCACAGCGGATGAAATGTACCATAGCTTTTGTGTGAAATATCAATTTTCAAAGACAATATTTTACTTTGCTCAAATATTGCGAATGAACGATTGATATTTTTTGATTGTCTACTTTGGCATGGTGGAGTTAGGTGAACCAAAATTTGCCTATAGAAAAAAGCTCTTTTTATTTATTTACGTACGGAAACCAAATATTCTATTTGTCCGCCATTTGCCTTACAATTGGAAGAAAAATAAGTTTGGTGAGCCGGCTATTAATGTCTTGTACTTGTTGTGATGTCAATATGGAAAATACTGGGAATTTTCCTTATTGCTGCTCTTTAATTTATATTTTAACTCAATTTTTTGCTAACACACTTTTTTACTTCTTAAGTTAATAGGAATGTTGGTTGTCTAGCATTGGCAAGTTTTTTTCGCCGTCGACTGCAGGGCGGAGTCTTTATGGTTATTTCAATTTAAGCCCATAACATTTTTATCTCAGTTACTATAAATGGTCTGACAATGCTCTGCTCTCTTTAGACAAATTTCTATAATACAAAGACTTGCATGCTTCTAACGGTGTAAAATAAAACACACAATGTTATTTTTTCTTTTATACAAATCCCTTCAAAGACCACATATTTTGAATGGATGTTTATGTTTGGATATATGTAGATCAACTGCAAAATAAGATTTTTTCCGTTTTTTGGTTCATTTCAACCCCTAAATATTTTGCGATCATCTACACCATATCTCCATCCTGAATTCGGGCTACAATTGCGACCTGCAATGTGATTAAAAATTAGCATGGACAGACGGACATACGAAATACGGCGAGATAGGAAGTTCTATATATACATTCCTATTTGCAGGACCAATATTTGGAGGTGCTATGTAATGTATATAATAACCAACTAGTGTACACAGTGTAGTAGGGTATAATTACCACTGGTGGCGGAATATAATGGTACTTCCGATCGTCTAGAAGTCAAAGTTCTAAAGTCTCACGACAAATTAACTATGGTAATTATAAAGAAAATAAGTTATTGAATAACCACCAAAACTAGTTTAAATTTAAAAGTAATGGCTTGTTTTTTATTTTTGTTTCTTTCAGCATCAAATCCCCTAATAAAAAAGCATTCCACTCACCATTCCTCCGGCAGTTGCAGTTTAAAAGGATGTAGTTGGTATATTAAATTCACAAATGTGTGGTTGAGTTTATCTTTTTTTTTTAAATATTCATATTGGCTTGTTATCTACGTAAAGTACATGGCAGAACTCGGGGAGATATGATATTACGGATGCAGTTTTCAACCATCTTAGCTGCATTGATTCAAAGAAGATGGAATTGTTATAAATCATATTTGTAGGTTCTAGAAAAGATCAATTTTTTTTAAATTCCACGAAACCAGGGCCAGAAAACCATTTTTAAAATTTTCCAAATAACAATATATTTTTGAGCAATATCTGTCACTTAATCGCTATGAAAGGAATTTCAATAAATGGGTCCATACTACAAGGTTAATTTACAATCAAACCCCTTTAATTTCCCAAATCGATAAGCACTGCTGCATGTCGTATTTTAAAATATTGATCAATACTAACAATGCCCTATTGAAACCAATTCCATTTCTTATATTTAAGATTGACTTTTTCGGCTTCTTACAATTTCTTTAGAGCGTCATTATA